CCACCAGCTTAGCATGGTCGCAATTCCAGATTTTGTGTTTCTATTGACAATATCAAAAGTAACAACTTAATTTATTTTTAAGCAGCGAAACTAACTTATAAGACCTTTGATGTAATAAAATGTAATACTACGTCAAATCCGTGCATTATTTTCCACTTGTTCCATTTGTTCACGATCGGCGAACGTATGACAGTATGCAGTCATATCAAATCGAATAATTGAAACTTCTTTCTACTATAAAAACATGAAGAAGATTAAAAGAAAACATTTAGGAACGCAAATAACAATAAAAATACCTTATGTAAACATGTTTACAGACAATCAAAACTAGAATGTTCTATAAACAATAACTATTTACAGAAGGTAACATTGCAGAGAAGTTTGTTATTAAACAATCGTACTTTTATTATTTTGATTGTTCCTTATTTTAAATAACTATAGTCATTAATGAAACAATTGTGTCATATGCTTATGAATTTCATATGCATTTGAATGCTAACTGTAAAAGTTACAGATACGAAACTCAACTTAAGGTTACATTTTTGCGTTCAAACCCGCTAAACAGATTTTGATCACATTTATCATTCATTATAATAAATAATAAAGATGACGACAGTCAGATTTCAATTGCTATAGAAGCTTTGCCTTAAAAGGAACTTACATTTTCTGTAGAAAAACTATAAATTCGCATTTCGTGTTTCGAACTTATTTTTCCATGTCACACAGTTCAAATTCCAATGTTAGTTATAGGATCAAAAAATGACCTTCAAATCGTGATAAGCGAAGCAATGGGGTATAAATGTTATAAGGGAATAAAAAGTTCAGGAGTTAAACCAACGAAAACGAACGAATAGGGGCAGTCTATGGCCGAATGGTCGAATGCGCGACTGCTGGGCGAGGGGTCTTGGGTAAAAACATGTCAGTAGTAGCACGGAGTCCGGAATTCTGCCCGGTATATAGCAATAGGATCACCCCCAATTACATGGGACTCATAACATAAATAGTGAAAAATGGGTGTTACATTGTACAGCATGGCATTAAACTGTCAAACACCAAGCGGTCACCGGTGACCGCAACCTATTATTCTATAATTGTGTCTACAAAGACGGTACTCAACGAGTTAAGTGTCGTAATGTGCACCTCTACCTATCCCTTCGGAGAGATAAAGAGCTTGTTGTTATGTTATTTAGTTAAATAACCCAGAATTGTCAATAACAGCTAGTTACCTTATGCTAAAAGATAACAAATTGACATTTATTTATTAAGGCGAACTTGTGCTTTAAGGCGATAAATTCACGCCAAAGCTGACAAGTCAATTTTAAGAATAATTAGGAAAATTATTAATATAGGTTTTGTTCATGAATAAATCAAGGATTTGTTTGCAATAACTATCTACCGCAGCTGGTATTGAGTGGCAGTATAATAGATGTATCCCAACCAGGTTACATTCACGTAAAAACTAGGCGTTTTCCTATGCGTGAAACCCTTTTCGAGTTTAACTACTTATCTATGCTTTTTGTAGAAAATAACTAAATTAGAAGTGAGAAAAACGAGTTACGAATTAATCTCAAGAGCATAGTTTAATTAAATTGGCACAGAATGATACTAACATTACGTATTCTATGATGTAGGGGAGCGGAGGTGTCATTTAAGTTTTGCATTGCAGAGGGAGTTAAATGCATGATTCGTTATATTGTCTTAATGATAAGCACCTACCTCTTTTTTAAGGGGGGAAAATCACCGAATGACTTCTCCCGGGAGAGGCGAGAGAGAGTGTCAGACTCTTACTAACTAAAAACCTCCCTGTTCCTACTTCGAGTCGGAGCCCCAGTAACCTGTTAAGTCTTCCGCGGTAGTACCTACTTCTAGATTCTAGACACAGGGTCAACATTACAATTACAACTTTACAAAGTTTACATCAATTTCGGTTTTCGATCAATTTATTTATAGTTTCCATTAGATTTTTATGGTCCTCACTTATGAAATCGGCAAGTCAAGTCGTTTTGATAGTCATTGCTACCTTTTATAATTCGGACTAATGGGTAACTGCCATAAAATCCTATTTTAATTCAGATCACAGAACAAGTTTTACTTGTTATTTAATAATACCGATACCTAACTACTTAATATCGATTCGAATGTGGGAAAATTGATGATATTAAGTCGCTAAAATAAGATTTTGTATTTTATGGGATAGATAGCAAACAAGAATATGTATCACCTGATGATACCTAAGTCATTAGTACCGTCCACTCGCAACAACAGAGGAATCACCGGTTTTTTTGGGATATTATTGTTTTCTGACTGCGGGATTATGTATTTTATACAATACCAAAATTCGTTTGGTGATAAATGTGAGTACCTAATGCGATTTTTCTTTTAATGGGTGAAAATCATCGAATGACTGCACCCGCCTGGGTGAGGCGGGAGGGAGTGTCAGACTCTTACTGACTAAAAACCACCCCGTTCCTTCTCCTGCACGTCGAGCCGGAGCCCCGGTAACCCGTTAGGTTCTCCGCGACTACCTAATGCGATAATATCTTTTATAACTAACTAAGGATAAACCAGCTCACCAATATTAAGTTACGTTGCATTCGTTCAAAAAACGTGTTGTGTCTAGTCTTTTTTGGACTGGAAATCAGAACGTAGGACATTCATTTGGTTACTTTACGTAATTATCTGTGATGATGATTGTATGGAAATATGCTCAGTATGCTCACGTACCTAGATGACTACATTTACATAGATATAAACCACAAGATATAAGCTTACTCACATGATGGTTTGTTTAGGCCGTGACTTTCTCCATTTAGAAAATAGATATAGGTACCTACTACCTATATGGGTATTTCCGAAGTACCTATGCCTATGCGGGTAATAATATAAACACGATAGATAGGTAAATAACCTGCAAAACTTTTATCTAAGTACCTATTGAATACTTCGATGCAAAACTGTAATGCTATTTGAATGCAAGATTTGAAGGCTTGTTTGAAGTTTGGCAGCTTAAATTTGGAATGAAATATGCAGTATAGACATGTGATTATGTGATGACAAGGGAATAAAGACGACAACCAATGTAAAATATGATGTAGGTATAGATTGTGTGAGGATTAGTAAAATGGAATGGAAAAAAAAACGAAGGTTTTGTGATAGAATAACGTACCTTCATGTATTTGACAACAGATTAAAAAAAAAACATTTAAAAGTTAGCCTTTTAGCCAGTTCGAAGAATTCGCATAGTTTTACCATATGGTTTTACGTTTTAAACTATCGATGTTTCAGTCGCGATAAATTAGATTTTAGTAACCTACATCATTGAGGTCGATGATGTCTGAGGTTTAAAACCTAATAACATTTACGACCGGCGTAACTTAACATAGCACTCCGAACTGTACTGAGCTATTTCACAATATTACAGACCTTTACAAAGTAAGCAAACAAGAAGGTGATGTTTAGAGAAACAGTTATTGGTTAAAGAACTACCTAGTAACTTACCCCGTAATGTTTTAAAAATGGGATTTAAGTGCTATATCAAATAAGATGATTCCAATCAAATTTAGACAGGTGATTTTAAAACCAGTAAGTAACGTTTTTAGGACAATCAATTCAATCATCAATTGAATTAAGTTGACAGTTTTTAGTATGAAGTATTGTCAAATACCTATTCAAAGTAATTCCTCAGTTACAATTTATCTGGCGTTGGAAAAATCGACCCTTAACCATGGCTATAGGTATTACGAGTAAGTCAGGTTAGAAAAAACGCCTTAAAATAGGTACTCAGACCTACGATTATAATCTGAGGTCTTAGTATGAGTTTCATTTACGTCTGAAGTATTCGAAACGAGTACGCGTTCGGCACTCTGATTGGCCGGCGCCAATGAACCAACCAATTAGAGCGCCGAACGCTTACTCATTACGATTACTTTAAACGTAAAACAAACTCGTACTGAGGCCTCAGAATCAGAAATGCACCTTTAGTGCAGAATAGGTACTTAACCTATAGTTTTTTCTCAACAATTCGATTCGCTCTACCCTGTGTTTCAAGCAATCAATACAAAACGACGATCTGAGTTGTAATGAACACAAAAAGAATACATTCAAAAGCGGAAATACTAAACAATAAATTGACGATTTAATACACTATCAATCGATTTAAATTTAATGGCAGAACGAATGAGTTACTGTGACAGATATCGTTCAATAAAAAAAAAGTTGCTTTAAAGTTCCAACTTGTTATAGAACTACGAACCCATCAAATCATACCTGGCTGGTTGATAAAACATACCTATAAACACTGTGTATGTACCATAGATGCAATTAACGGTACCTTTATCAGAGGTATGTATACATTATTTTAGACAGCGTTAAATTTTACTCTAAAATAATAAGTGAGTTATTAAGATATCTATTGGTTAAATAAATTATTGTTCCATAATTAAAATTGCGGAACATTCATGCACCATTGATAATCACGCAAATGAAACTACATATTATTATATCTTTTTAATAATAGGTAGGTATCGAGAATCTAATAAGTAGGTAAACCCAAATTTGTTTAGTGATACGAAACTACAAACCGGTATTGATAGTAAAAGAAAATAGCGGGAAAGAGCAAGATTCTAAGTAGGTATTTGAACGGCAGAATATGCAAATAACAAAGTAGGTAGTTAAGTAAACATATTTTGTCTATGTCGCGAAATTCCATTAGTTATTCTTTATTTACATTTACCTACTCAGGCCATTATGTACCTACCTACATACTTGTATAATTAACTGTCTAAGTTTTTTCTTTAACAAAATATTTAGTTACTCAAGATTTATCTCGGCAGGTAAACGACATAGGTAGGTGGGTACCTACTAAGTTTATTTAAATACGTACGATATTCAATTCAAAATGAAAACAAGGGTAACTTTCTGGCGCGTACGTAACACATGGCGCACTTCAAAGGCTTTCATTATCTAGTTACTAAAAGGGTAAAGTAAGATAGATTACTTACGAGTAAAATAGGGCTGTCTAGCGGTCCACCTGCCTACTGTATGGGTACAGAGGCTGCGTCGGCGTCCCCCCTGGAATGCGACACCTGTGACCACAATCACACTCACAGTACCACTCCGACCTAACACTTTTATTAGTCACAAATAAAAAACAACGTTTTAACACAGTATACCACACAATTATTTTCAAATAACGTTATTTCCTGTCACATCCCTTAACTTCGGCAAAGTTTCGCGGAATTTGGGTAACGACCATGTACAGCCTACCGACCGGCACCAAAGAGAGCGGCGAACGAACTCGATTTGACGTAAAACGGAGTGGGGATCGCGCGTGAATAGCCAACAAACGAAGCGACGGTGGCGCCGCCACACCTGTCAACGCGGTATACAACTCTGCGACAAGCAATGAACCGAGGCGAAAGTAGAGGTGGAAAGATTACACGACTGTGTTTAAATTCGAGCTTATTTGAGTTCCGTATTCAATAACAAATTATATTAATTTAGAACTATAGTTCTACAATTAAATACGATGAGAATGAGAATAACTTTCTTAGGAAGTGCTATTGAAAAATTAATTCGGCATATCTAAGTTATTGTCAATAAATATTATTTTTACGGTCTAAGTATTTTTTTAAAACGGTCTGTACCGAAATGACACAACACTGTATGACTCCTCCTTTATAAAAATTGAGCTACCAAGAAAGATTAAGGTGTTACAATGCAATTCATTTTGATCCTTACTGCACGCAGATTCATTTTCTCGATTATGTAACTAGCGGTAGGTCGGGTGTAGGCAGGAAGAAACTGTCTTCGAGAAATTATGCGCCACAATACCTAGTTAATTGAAATTCTTCGTTCCAGCGAAGACTGGTTAGAGTAACATTCACTAATGTCTGTTTGACAATCCGTGTAATGAATACTATTGTGAATACCATAAACTTTGAGCAGCCAATTTGTTATTATTGTGGTGTTCAGTTTAGTATACCTACATATTATGTTGTACGCAGTAATTTTATTAAGTTTCTTTTGTGGTACAGGGATAGGAAACAGTTATAATTCATTTTTAACATTAATGTTCTTCTGCAAGTTTGTCTTGTTGTTGTTTATTGGTACTTACTAGAGGTATAAAATAGTCTGAAACTGAGCAATTGACGTGCTAATTCTAATAGCTATTTACTAACAAATCCTCAAATCGACTCCTAAACACGGAATTGTTCAATCGCGTATTTCAAAAGCTGTCAAGTAACTAAAACCGCCTACTACGGTCAGCAATTTATGATGTTAGTGAGATCTTGACGTAGTTAATTCAAATTTGTAATTTAACATATTTATTAAGCTGTCTTGCTTAATATTGACATTGATTTATGCATTTAAATAAATGTTGTTTATAGTTGATCAAATATAATTTACCTATGTTTTATAACGTAATTAGACATTAGCATTGCATTGATTTGAGAGCATACACCTATTCTAAGTATCGGTATATTTTCGTTAATTTTATATTATAAATTGACCTAATACTGTAAGACATAAACACGGTTGTGTTCATGACTGTATGTGAGACGCCAGGATTCGAACCCGAGGTGCCTGTACGCTGCAAACGCAATTGCTAATATTTCACCTACTCATTTAAATGTGCCTATTAATGCTATGTACACATTATTTTGTTGACTTCTCAAGTACTTAGACGATTCCACGATAAGACAATGCTTGTTGACTATAATCAGGGGACTAGACTGAGTGTCACCGTCACTGTTGAACTCAGCAATTTACAAATTCTAGTTCCATTAAGTTGTAAATTCAATAAAAATACATTTAATTCAAATCATTTATTTCGTTTTACGACGTGCCATTATGAATAAATCTTTATTGTGTTTCGTACGGTATTGCTTTAAGTTGGTAGACAATAGAAGAAAACAATAAGACGCGATTTTATAGAAAATATTGCATATCTACGTAATTACAGGTGTATGGCACATACTATTATACAAAATATACAGGATTATAAACTATTTTTATTTAATAATATTTAATCTAATATCACTTTATTTAATGATATAGTTGATGATGCAGCTGTGGTATTGCGAGGATGAGCAGCATTAGAAAATGGTCAAATATACCTGAAAAAGAGAAACGTCAAATTATTATCATACATTTTAATCAAAGTAGTAATTTAAATTTATACAATTTAGCCATTGCTGTTATAACTGAACTAAACTCATGGCTGAGTTGGACAAACATCGACATAAATTTTATTTCAAAAGATGGATTGCAAATTATATTCAAGCTATGTTTGTTTCTTTATTATATTTTCTTTGTTATTCCCGTAAGTATTTGTGAGCTCAAACTACTTACATAAAGAATGTGAAGCCTTATCCTGTACAGGTGGAGCTCGGTATTCATCAGTAGCTTCTAAAAACTGATAGATTGCCTTAAAACCTGTACCATCTAATCGGTCGTTCGACCTAAAAGTTACTTTGAAGAAATTCCTCTCAGACTCTACGTGGAACTCTTTCATTTGTCCACAATATCTACCGAATCTATTGTCTTCAGTCATATAGTTTGAAAATTCGACATAATCACTCGCCGACACTGCATGGCATCTGAAACAAAACAATTAAAAGTGATTAGATTAATGTGACTAAATGATAGTACGTCAATCAAAACATTAAAGACTGATAAATTGTCCAAATGCACGAATGTTATTAGTATCTGCATTCCCCATGGGGCACTAATATGGAATACCTGAGTTTACATAGATGAAAATGCCTGGTATGTTCAACCAAATACCCAACATTCCAAATTGCATGCAAATTTCTAGGATTCAAGTATGAGTTTATCTGTTAAACATATCTTAACATTAGCACCAAGTGACTGCACCTTGGTATAAAATTAAAAATTAATGGATGTAGTATAGATACTGCAACACATTTTTGTACTAATGGACACGGAGGGACTTAAGATTTTTTACATAGTTTTACGTTTTATTTATATTTATTCTCAGTTTTTTTTATTTAGGAAGTATTTACCTTTTGAAAATATTTTTCCAGACTTCATTTACTTATTTCATTTATTTATGAACAATTCATCTATAGAGCATTTTTGTATAACTTTAACTATATGCTCAGCGCACGCCACGGAAGGCCTCAGAAACGATACTTTTCCCCCGTTTTTAAAACATTTTTGGTTACTGCTCCACAACTATAGGACCTAGCGTGATATTATATAGCCTATGTTACTTCTGAATAATGCAGCTTTCTAATGGTGAAAAAATTATTGCAATCGGTCCAGTAGTTTTTGAGTTTATTCATTACAAACATACAAAATACAAAAATACAAATCTTTCCTCTTTATAATATTAGTATAGATTGTACTCTATAGAGTACACCTATGTACTCTACAGATTAGTACAGATTATAATCTGTAACATTAACAGAGTACGCTAAAATACTTCTTTTTTACTTAACTAGTGTCAGTCTGTACTGATATGTAAAAACCTATGATCAAAATAAAAATTATATTTAATTTAATACAAGGCGGCCCGTTTACAGTAATCCAACGATTTTTACAGCTTGAGAGCATCATCAATGATCATTTTAAAAAACTTTAGCTTAGCGAAATTTCATACAATTGTTTTTAAATTATTTCGCTATTTCAATTTTTGACACAATCACAATATCAATCTCTTATGCATGAATAATAGGTACCTATTTAGTATAGTATAATAATCTACCTATCGCGCTATAGGCTAACTTAGTATAATATAATCTTTTTTTAAAAAGAAATATTTTTATGTACTGCTTAAAGTACGAAACATACCTTTTTAAAAGCAAAAAAATAAATGATACTCTTTTTTTGTAAGTCTGTATTTTTTATTTACCTCTTTTAAAATCAAATATACTCTATTTCTTCTAAAAATAGTCTTCTAAAAATAGTGATGCAGGAGGGAATGTCAGACTTTTACTAGCTAAAAACTATCGCATTCCAACTTGCACTTTTGTATATTCTTTTTACTATTTGTTATTATAGGTTTATTGCTTATTATGTGTTAAAGTAGATGAAGAATGCATAGAAATTTTAAGTGACTTATTGTAAGGATCTTCAAAAATTATCTAGAACTCTTACGGTAAAACTCCTTCAACGTCAAAATTCGTGAAATGCAGATGCACTTTCTCAGTCTCGCCACCGTGAAAGAAGTATGTACATTCTGTATCCCTTGGATATGGTCCCGGCGAGTTTGGGGACGCAAATGTACCATTGTGCGCCTCACTACTATTATATACGAACGCACATGGAAACTCCTTCAACTGTCTCCCTGTGTTTATTCCGAAATCTGAAAAATAACGATTTTCGTTTCATTAACTGTACAATATAATGGTCTATAATGTCAACACTTCATAAAGGTGTAGTTTAAACATGGAATGGTTTAATAAATCGTTTTTATCAGTTTATTAAATTAAGTGTCGAATCCAGTATTTTTTTCAAGAACTTTAACACTAGTAAATCTATGATAGGTCTAAGAAATGCCACTGTATACTTACTTTCTACAAATGAATATGATATTTTGAATCCTCTCGAGTATCTTGATGACTGCGTTCCACGGAATTCCAGCATTAGTTTCGGTCCATTCGACATAATAGGCTTCGGGAGGTCGATACCACAGAATGTCTCTACCTTTTCTAACCGCCCGTCCACGTTGACGAAAGCTTGTAACGAATCCACGCTTGTACAACTGTAATTGCATACAAATAAACATATTAAATTTGTGTATTTACTAAATGTATGTTACACACTATGGACACAATAATTTAATCAAATCAAGTATAACATGACTGATACATTACAGATGCTGTCACAACTCCTCAAAGTAACGTAACGTTGATGGTTAAGTAGGTAAATTATGTTAACAGGTACCCAATCAAGAACCCGCGTAAAATCTCCGCTAAACCAAACTCATCGTCACTTGAAAATGTCTAGGTACATATTTAAGTTTAATCACTGAGGTATACATTCACGGACTGTATTTAATTAAGCGCTCCTCAATAGAATTTGCTACATCCCTCAAATATCAACAACGAGGTAACGCGATCCCATATTTGTCATCAATTTCTATAGATTTATGTATAGTAGCCTTACTTTATATGAAATAATTTTTTTAACCGACTTCCCAAAATGGAGGTGACTATATTGATAGTCACCTCCATTTTGCCACACAGCCGAATTGTCGGCTGTGTGTTTTTTTACTTATTATAGATATAAGATAATTATGTAATACTTACTCAATAGATCCATCAGCAGATTTGTATAAGTAGAAATCTTGAAATATTAATCTAACTCGCTCTTTGCCCCTCCCGAAAAATTCGTAGTGGCAATGAGTGTTCGGAGGATATGGTGATGGGTAGTGCGGTGAAGTTAATGTGCCGTGTTTTGTGCCGTCGCTGCTGAATTCTTGATGACATGATGAAGCTGTAAAGAAGAAAAAATAGAACTTAATAGTTGCATTTGACTTGAAACAAACAATTCATATAGTGAAAGTGGAATTTCTACTATTACTGTTTTTAAAATCAATTTATTTAAAGATAGGCCCTATAAAATTATTCAAAGTAATAATTTATAGAGAAGCGTATAGAGTTACATTATTCTGAACGGGTATAAAGTTTTAAATATTAATTGTGTTGAAACACACTGCGCGGCGCGCAATATAATTCAGTCGATGCTCGAAAACCGACGCATGCGTAGAACGAAAAGTCAATAGAGAAAACCCGATTATACGTTCACTCGATTATTGTACTGCGTAGTGATCAAGTTGTACTGAAATCCGACACACGTTATCCGATGTATTTTATAAAAATACACGAACTTATTACAAATAAAAGTATTTTTAAAGAAAATATGACACATTTGTGGTGAAGTGCATAAAAATCTACAAGTTGATGTAACGATTATTCGGTTACCGAAAATCTCGATTATGACTCAGCCGTGGTACTCCTACACGTCTCTAATCCTGTCAAACTGTCATTAAATTTGACAATGACATTTTTAGTTTCACAGTTTCTTATATTGTTTTGGTTTATAAATTAAGCCAATATTGAAATAGATCTGAGTAAAATAGACCGTGTTTGCTGAATAAGTTACACATATGGTTTCGTAACAACCGTGCAACGTGTTTACTTATAATAGTTTCGATATTATTTTGAATACATGTTTTAAAATCGAAGTGTATATTTAACCATGGGCGAATCCACGCCGTTTTTCGTTGATCGAGCGAAAGGAGGACGAGCTTCGTGTAAAGGGTGTAAGACGAACTGTCCTAGTGGTGAATTACGAATTGCAAAACTAGTTGCCAGCCCATATGGAGATGGTCAGCAGATGAAATCATGGCATCATGTGGATTGCTTCATGAATGTGTTACTAAAGCAGAGACCAGCAACCAAACGAGTAGATTCAATAGATGACATTGGCAACTGGGCCAACATTAGTAAGGAAGACCAAGAATTAATATTGAAAAAACTAAATGACATGGAAAAATTGTATGCAGACAAAAACAGTGGAAAATATACAGCTAAAGTTATTAAAAATATTTCTACACCAACTGTTAAACCTAGTCCTACTGCATCGGCGAGCAATGGTGACACAGTGAGCCCTAAGAAGGAGAAGGTGGATACTGACGATGATAAGTTTCTAACATTCTTCAAATTATGCAAAAGAATCGCCAGGGTTGATGCTTATACTGAAAAAACTGCAGTAGTCAATGATTTCTTCAGAATTGGCACAGATGGTACATTGTTTAAAGGGAACCTCTCATTGTGGTGTAAACTACTACTACCACAAGTTACGAAAAGAGTTTACAATTTAAAAAGCAAGCAGTTAGTAAAACTGTTTTCAAGAGTATTTGGCACGGATCATGATGATATGTTGACTCATCTAGAGAAGGGAGATGTTGCTGACACAATTCAACATTTCTTTAACAAATCAAAAACAGTCCAACCTGCCTCAGAAAGCACACTCACAATCCAAAAAGTAGAAGATTTCTTAGAGGACCTATCAAAATTAACGAAAGAGGAAGAACAAATATACCACTTTAAGAAGATTGTAAAAAAATGTACTGCAGATGACCTGAAAATGCTTATTAGATTAATAAAGGGAGATTTGCGAATAAATGCTGGGCCAAAGCATATATTGGAAGGAGTTCATCCTGACGCTTACAGTGCTTTTCAAACATCAAGAGACCTCAACATGGTGTTAGATAGGATTATAACTAAAGGTTCTACTGTAAAACATAAAGATGCAATCCAAACAAGTTTTCGAGCAACACTTTCCCTCATGACTCCTATACTACCGATGTTGGCTGAAGTTTGCAAATCAGTGGAAATGGCAATGAAAAAATGTCCAAATGGAATGTTCTCGGAAATCAAATATGATGGAGAAAGAGTACAAGTGCATAAAAAGGGGAAGGAATTCAAATATTTCTCTAGAGCTTTAAAACCTGTTATGGCACATAAAGTCAATCATTTCAAAGAGTATTTACCGCAAGCTTTTCCTAAAGGTACGGACTTAATCTTGGATGCCGAAGTCCTAATGGTGGATGTTAATACAGGGAAACCGTTGCCCTTCGGTACTTTGGGTATTCATAAGCAGTCCGAATTCAAAGATGCGCAAGTATGTCTGTATGTATTTGACTGTTTGTACTACAACGGTGAAGTTTTAATTGATATGCCTATTAGGAAAAGAAGACAGATATTGCATGAGAATATGGTGGAAGTGAAAAACCATGTTATGTTTTCTGAACAGAAGTTGATTGAGAAGCCATCGGATTTAGCTAAAATGATTGCTGAGGTAAGATTCTCCAGCAGCTTTTTCATTATACAAATAATTTCAATGAAACTATTACTTATTTTGTTAATTTATGTGAAACATTTAAAACAACACTCTAGGGGGTGGTTCTAACTAGAAGACAGGCTGTAACTATAGGCAGCAGATGAGTAGAACTTCCAATGGGCAGTCACTACGCATGACAGATGGCACAGAAGATTTGCTCATAGCCCTGTGGCTGTGCAAATGTATTAATTAAAAAAAAACAAAGATCATCCATGACTGGAGTATGCATCTCCCCTGCAAGGGTTTGTCAGTTTGCTTTAATCTCCATGTTTGCCAGATTGGTTGGAGTTTGTAGTTTTTAAGATTTAGATTTATCAGTGTCTGTTTGTGTGCCCAGTCTCGGTCAAATGTAAATCATACAAAAAAAATATCCTTAAGGTAACAATAAAAACATTTTAAAAGTGTGCATAGAAATAATAATATTCAATATAAAATTTCCCCCAAACAAGTTTGACAGGAAAACAGTAATCTATAAGCGCAGTATGAAGTCATCATTATAAAGTACAAGTACCAATACATGTCTGAACATGAATCGACCAGTTGCCGCATAAGGAAGTGGTTTTTAAATATTCATTGTTTTACTATTAAGGAAAGTAATGCAATGAAAATTAATATTACACTTGTGATTTTCTAGAAGGAACGTTGGGAAACTTAAAAGTTACATACATAAACTTAGGCATAATTACCGTTTGACGATAGATAGAAATTACACTATCACCTAGTTGTTATGATTCTTATACCTATGATAGTTACTCCTTTGGTTGCATTTCCACACTCGACCAGAAATATAACACTTAATAAGTTGTTTGTCTTGTTTACCACAGTATGGATCTCTAACCATGCATTCAAAATGTATCCTTTTGACTTAAAATATCCCAATCCCAATAAAATTTCTTCTCAAACCTTTGTTAACTGCAACACAATACATATTATTTTGGAATGACATTTAACACCTCCTTTTTATAAATTCCAGGTTCTAGAACTGGGCCTAGAAGGTTTAGTACTCAAAGATTTGGAGTCTAAATACGAGCCTGGCAAGCGACATTGGTTGAAAGTGAAGAAAGATTACCTATTTAATGGAGCTATGGCTGACACTGCTGATTTGGTGGTTCTCGGGGCATGGTTTGGTAAGTTGAGTTATAATGTACTTTATGGAAATTGTTATAAAGTTGCAATTACTTTTTGGTGAATTTAAAGTGAAGAATAAGAATAGTTAGTTCTGGAATTGTATGCATTTTGTAGTCAACAGAATAAAAAGATTCCTGTTCAAGATAAGTGCTGATAACTAAAGCCGGTCCAAAGTGAACCTTCAGGCGTTTAATGTGTTAAGGATTTTTATGATTATTATCGATAAGTCAAGTAATGTCAAAGAGTCCAGTAATCAATAAATAAAATGTTAAATAGATAACAATACTTATAGGAAAGTACTTGTTGATAAGTGTGATGTGTTTTGAATTGATAAGGCTTGGTGCATGTTTCATACACTACATGAACACGACTGAACTTGTTCGTAGTGATGACTTTGTCTAGCTATGAGTCATGAAGCAATAATGTATGAATTTCCTTTTATGGTATACTAGTATGGTTCTCCCAGGTTATTATTAGCTATACCTACTAATCTGATATTAGTAAACCGTCAAACGTATAAATGGATGCAGTTACAGTATTAAAATAGCCAAGCATTTTGAAATCTTATAACAAGTAGTGTACTTATTATAATAAAGCTGAAGAGTTCTTTTGTTAGAATGCGTTAATCTCTGAAACTACTGGTTCTAATAGTAAAATTACTAGCGACTCGCCCCGGCTTCGCATGGGTGCAATATGCATGTATTACATATATATAAACACTCCATAAGAATCACTCTGTCTATTAAAAAAACTGCATCAAAATCCGTTGCGTAGTTTCTCAAAGATCTAAGCATACATAGGCACAGACAGACGGCGGATAGCGACTTTGTTTTATTTATTTATCTATATTATATAGAAGGTTATATGCTATAAGACATCGCGTACGATCAATAGGGGCCAAGCAGAGCGGGTGAATGTATAAAATATTAGTCTAAAATTCTCCTCCTCGACTTTCTCCTATTGTTGTTAAAAGAAAATTAATATAATTATGTTATTTTAAATTACAGGAACGGGTAAAAAAGGCGGGATGATGTCCGTCTTCCTAATGGGTTGTCATGATGTTCGTCGAGATAAATGGGTGACAGTCACAAAGGTACATACTGGACACGATGACAGCACACTGGAGAGGCTACAGAAAGAATTGGAGCCTTTAATGGTGAAAATATCACAGGATAACAATAAAGTACCTTCGTGGTTGGACTGTAATAACGGCATGGTACCCGATTTCGTAGCCGCAGATCCTAAGAAACAACCCGTTTGGGAGATAACTGGTGTGTATTTCTATAATTATTATTAACACCTTGGAATGAGCAACTAGCTTCACTTCTAAATTTTTGTTGTTGACTTTCAAAAGTGCCTTCCTGGTCTAATTGAAATAAATGATTTTGACTTTGACTTTGAACTAGCTTCTGTGCCGGCTTCGCTGGCATTGTCGTGGGATAAAAAGCCTATGTGTTATT